TTCCAAAATTCTAGTAAAATGGAAATCATATTAATGCAATTTGGATTTAATTTAATAAAGTTATAAATCATTGATTTTATGAAACATTAATGTTTATTATAATGAATTAATATYATAGGCTCGAAATCATACCYGATTTTCATTAAAATAATATACGTTTTTCATTAAATATATGATATATTTTTCTGAGTGCAGGTTTACACACAAAACAGTAAATCATAGCCTAAATTTTATTGATCCAAGTACAGGAGCACATACTCAGCCATTCGAGGGCCTTTGGCGTATTGTAAAAAAAATACACGGTATAAAAGTAAACGGAGCTTCACTTTTACTCGAAAGGCAGTTGAAATAAGAGTGGTGGCGATTACTTAATCCATCCATAGATACAATATTTGACGATTTTCTTTCAGACACGAAAATAACATTTTTAGTATAAGGTATTTTCTAAAAATAATACTTGTATAATATTTGTATTCTATTTTTATCAGGTAAGATAAAAATAATACAGAAATTAAATATTATTTTTGGTAGATTTGGGTAGATCGCGCACTACTTGAAAACAAGTTTGGTAGATCGTGTACGACATAAGTACCAAAGTCTGTTTTATAAACATATGTACAATGTACTTTTATCCAAGTATTCAGATATTTTCAGATTATAAAAAAACTACTCTTTGTATGGTTACTTATTATAATTATATAACATTCATGAATGAATGTTGGTTTTAGAATAAATAATCATTCAGCATGCGCGAAACGGTCCCGTACTCGTTCTTTCGTGAGGCATACTAATTTGTATTTTATATTAGCGAACGTATATTATAAGGCACGACAGTTTTGCCTTTACGACAAATCAGTTTACAGTTTTGCCCAAATGAGGTTGGTCATAACTAGGTTTGCCCAAGGATTGTGGGCAGTTCGCGTTTTGACCGGGCATTTCCGAGGTTTGCCAGATTTTGACTTTTGCCCGAAACATATATTATATAAATATCAATAACAATAATGATACTAAATAGTTGCCATTGGTTACATATCATATTATTACTATTATAATGTATAGAAAGATACCAAGTACATTTTTAGGAATATAGATATTTATATCAAAAGAAAAATCTTTAGTACGAGCAACATTGGGCGCAGCAACTTGTTATTAAGGGTCATAAGTTAAACATAAGACACTCATTATATCAAAAAGTAGTTACTTTTTCAAAACTTTTGATTCTTATTGTTCTAGAATTGTATATGTATTAAGTTAACTACTTTCAACTTTTGATCTTCAAATGGCAATCTATATTAAAAATCTAACCGAACATTAAAATGTATTAATAAATTATTACCTGAGTATTATCAAGGTTAAAAGAGAATGTTTCCAATTTATTTTCCGAGTCTGTGTTGAAGTAATCTAAAGGAATAAACACAACTATTAATATATCAGCAAATCAAATTGGTTGCAAACATTCAAATATGATAATTTTTAATCAAACATTTAAATAGTTAATGAAACCAACATATCAATTCATTTGTATTCCTTTATTAAGAGAAAAATTTTTTTTTTTTATTACCAAGGTAATTGTAAGATAAAACTATGGTATTATGGTTGTTGATAATTGTAAGATATCATAAGCTTTTTTTGAAGATTATACATTTACAAAAACATATAAGGTGCTTTATTAAAATGAAAGAAAAATGTGCAATTTATTTTGTAACTATAACTATAAAAATATAAAAAATAGATAATAATTACCATTTACGATTTCAGTCTTTGGTTCTATTTTGACAAATTTTTGTTCACCCTGAAAGAATTCATTAATTACATAAAAAGTTTAGTTAACAGTAGAGCATAACATTACTATTTTTTAATTCTCAATTATTATATTTTTTCCAACATAAATAAGTTTTTTTTTATATTTGTTATTAGAGAATATAAAATCTATACCCAAAGATAAATAAGTACTTTTTTAATTTTCATTTATTATAATTATTTTTTTCAAATATAAATAACTTACAGGGGGAAGTGTTTTATAGAAAACATTCCAATTACATTCATTTGGATTGTGCTCATATACACCATAGTTCTCGTGGTCTTCTAGAAGTTGAAATACAGCTGAATCTTTACTAAATTTTTTTTAAATGTTAAAATATTAACTTCATACAAAAATAAATCATAAGATATTTGAAGAAAAAAAATATTACCCAACAAATTCTACATCAATCAGGTTGGTTGAAGTCCTATTGTTATCAACTACTTCCTGAATAATAATAAAAAAGTATCAAATATTTATATATTCATTAAGATTTTAATTTACATTATAGGTACATTAAAATTATTTAGTATTTTTGTGGCATTTCATTGTTTATACTATCAAAAATATAAATAAAAAGTTTAGAAAATACACACTAGGTACTTAAACATGTTAGATTTTAAGATTTAAGATTATCTACAATATGAAAGATACTATTCCACTGTAATGAAAAACAGGATATCAGACCATGTGCAGTGTATGACACGAGAATAAGCTTTTTCACTACAAGGACTTAAACAACAGATATAATTGTAATCTAAATATGGTATACATTTTAAAATTAGTTTTTTTTTCATAATAGACATATCTTTGAGAAAAACTGCCATATTAACAGTAATTAGCCAGCTAACGATTATTGATTGGTTCAATGTGTCATGTGGTATGTTCTAATATTGTTCAAAAACAACCAAAGATGATGGATACTGTGATCAATCCAATACAGATTGACAAAGCCAAGTTAACTGGAAAAAGGAAATATAACYGTTGAAGATTACATAAAGGCGATCAACCCCCTTTATCGGAAGACAATGATGATAAAATATAGAACGGTCAGTCGGTCAGAAGCATTGACAAAGAATGGATAGGTCTTGGGTTTTTGAGGGACATTAAAACAGTTAATCCTTAAATCTACAATACCATTTATTTTTTACATAGTAATTAAAATAATGTTAGTTTTAATGTAATATACTTAAAAATTCTTACCAAATCGGTTGTTTTAATTTCATCAATTTTATTGCTATCAACTTGTTTATCATTGTATACTGGTAAATCAGCACCATCAGATGCAAGTCCTTCAAGAAATTTGTCAATTCTAGGTGATAAACAATAAATAAATAAATAAATAAATAAATAAAAATAATAATAACTTTTAAAACATATAAATATATAAATACATACAACTGACAAGAACAAGTGGACAAGGTACATTTACAATATGCATTAAAATAAATGAGATGTCCACTAGGTTGGCTTATTGTGCAGAAATACCTCCCGTATGTAAGATGGCGCTAAGTGAGTTGTGGTGGAGAGGATACTAATATTTTATGTTCGATCACTTTTTTTTTATAATTTACCATCTATAGTAATTAAGATTCTGAGTGATTAATATATTGATTTTAGAGTATTTTTTTTTTTTTGTCTTATTCTCCTTTTATGATAGAAAAGTGAATTTAATTGGCATTTGGTGGTTGGGATCAAAAGTAAAAATTCCTAACAGTGGTCTTATTGAAAGCTTCTTCAAAACTTTGTACAATTTTAAGTTTTTATTTTATCTAAATATAACAAAACTGCTTTTTATTGTTAAAAATTAATTATTTCAAAACACAATAACTTTTTTTTTATATTTGTGATATCAAAGAAAAATATCATTGTACAGTAAATGTTCACTTATTATATAGGTAGTGTGGAAATTTGGTAGGTTAGTTTGGACTACAGCTTGAATTTTAACTGTAATGAAAATAAAAAATAGTGTATATTATTACTTATTTTGATTAAAATAAAATACACAAKTAAATGAGCATTTTATTAAATTCTACTTTTATTATTATTATTTTTAGTTTAAAAGATATTATGGCGAACCACAGGTTACAAAAAATACTAAATTTGTCATATCAAAATAACAGTAACAATTCCAAAACTAGTGGAGACCGTGGACACTATATTCAAAGCATTCTAGATATTATATTATCTTCTAAAATAGTTTCTGATGAAAACTTCTATTCTGCTGAATATGTTAATAATTATAAATCCTAATATTTTATATTGACAATGAGATATTAGCCTTCCCAATTTATGAACACTGTAGTAAAATTAATAACACTCATGATAAAAATATTTTGACTGAAGAAAGTGAAAATATAAATAATGTTGAAAAGTAAATGACAATTAATTAGAATATTTTTTTAATGTTGATGTAATGCAACTTCTATTTGAAATTAATAATCCTTCTATTGAAAGTTATATCCGGGAAAATAATAACATTGATAATATAGAAAACTAGGTAGTAGAACAAAAGATAAAAAGCAATATCCATGCTATACAATATGATCAATCTAAATCTTCAATTAATTATAAGCTATCATTTGATTAATCATAATATCCTATACCCAGAGGCGGAGTGGCCCGCCGGGCAACCGGGACAATGTGGCTTGGTCCTGGTGTGATGAAAATAATTAATATTTAAAATATTTAGCTATTTTTGATGATTGTAAAAACAACGAAAACAAATTAATAATGTGATATGTGAACCACCAATTATAAGTAGTAAATACTCKATGTTGCGATAACTCGTTTTCTTATTATCGGTCGTCTTATCATTATTCACAAGTAAACACACAATCTATAAATAGTTATTCAAACGGGGTATATTATTTTGTAATTGACACAAAACAACAAAGTACCTATATGAYWATGGTTGTAAATAACATCACAGGYTTGCATTTTTATTTAATAATACCAAATACCACAGATTATATTTGTAGTTTGTATAATCTGCGATAATACGATCAATACGGAATAAATCCAAACAAAGCCGTAA